CCCTTCAGTGCTCAGCTTGGGCGTCCTCTGCCCGGAGGGCCTCCTGGGCGCCCGGCTCACAGCCCTCCCCTGTTCAGGGCCACGGAGACCTGTTTCCTGGCCGGCTGGCTGCCTCACCAGAGGTCCAAAGACAGGGGTGCTATCTGCCATGCTCCCGACGACAGAGCGTCGAGCACAGCACTGGCGGGGTAGGCACTTCTCTGTTAGATGAGCACAGAAGCTTCCAACTCCTCAGGTCGTCAACGGCAACGCCGGAGTTCCAGCCCAGCTGGGTCTGACCCGAGGCTTGCTCTTAACCCTACACCACACGACAACTCAAACAGCACACTGCCTCAGGTCACACCGCGGGTAAGGGTTGGTGCTGCGACAGGACCCAAGCATGTGTAACTCTGACGCCCATGCGCCATGTCCATGGAGTGGGGAGCAGCCTCTCATGGTCAGCTGAGATTTGGAGGGGATAAATGAAAAGACTGCAAAACCTCAGGCTAAAGAAGAGACTTTCCAATGACCAGAGAAATACCAGGAGAAATAAGGAGAGTGATCAGCTCAGAAATGGGGGCCTGTGGGAAGCTCCCCCAGGGAAATATTCTGAGAAGGTCTGGAGAAACAGCTAGAGAAAAAAGGAAAATTCAGGGGCAACTGTGCAGGGGGCTCAGAGGGCTGAGGCTGCAGGAACCACGCTGTAAGGTCCCTCCTGGCAGTGTTAAGAGTGGGTGACTCAGAATGAGATGGGAAAGGCTGGACTGAAAAGGCGCTCAGAGGTCAAAGGAGCCGGCTACAGGAATACTGGGGCAATGCTGCCACCTTGTGGCTATGGAGTGTTTGGCCCACAGGAACCAGTGCAGTGTGGCTTTCTTCTTCAGCAGCCATTTATTGAGCACCTAATATGGGTCTGGCTGCTGGGGACCAGAAATGGGTCTGACATGCTCCACCATTCCATGACCTCTGTTCTCTACATCCAGGCAATGACCACACCCTGCTGAGTCTACTCCCCTCTTTTCATAATTACAAGACTGTGAGGATACACATGGTGTCTTATTCATCTCTGAAGCTCCGGTACCCAGCAGAGGGCCCAGCACACCAGAATAACAATGGCAGCTACTATCTAATATGTGCTAAGTACTTTTTTAAAATTTAAAGTTATAATTTTTTCAAATCTTTATTGTTGAGAGTATTACAGATGCCCCCCATTGTCCTCCTCCACCCAGTTCCCGTCACACCCCAGCCCTTCCCCACACTCCTGTGTGCCCACGGATTGTGCATGTATGCATGTAAGTTCTTTGGTCATTCTCTGCCCACCGCACCCCTTCCCTCTGAGAGCTGGCATCCTGTGCCATGCTTCCACACCTCTGGACCTACTTTGTTCGTCGGTTTACTTTGTTCATTAGATTCCATATATGAGATCATGTAATGCTTGTCTTTCTAACTGGCTAGGAGCTTTTAAATACATTAACACATCTGAGTCTCATGTTTTACCTATGCAGTACTTATGAGACTTCCGAATGGAGATGCCCAGTAGGCATTTATTGCAATAGGAGCCTGGAGTTCTTGGAAAGGTCAGGGATAGAGAAATAAATGTGGGTATCACCTACACACAGACGGTATTTAAAGACCAGTGCCCTTGCCCTGGCTGGTTTGGCTCAGCGGTTAGAGCGTCAGCCTGCGATCCAGAGAGGCCCGGGTTCGGTTTCCATTAAGGGCACATACTTGGTTGCAGTTTGACCCTGGCCCTGGTTGGGTTGTGCGAGAGGCAGCCACTCAATGTGTCCCTTTCACGTCGATGTTTCTCTCTCTTCCTCTCTCTCCCTCCCACTCTGTCTGAACAAAAATGGAAAAATGTCCTCGGGTGAGGATTAAAAAAAAAAAAAATTACAAGACCATTGCCCTCAAAGTTGAATGTACATGACTCGCCTGGGGTTTCGCTAAAATGTAGATTCTAATTTTGAGGTCTGGAGTGGGGGCCTGATATTCTGCACGTCTAACAAGTTCCCAGATGATACCAATTCTGCTGGTCCACAGACCACATTTTGAGTGGGAACACTCTGAATCAGGGGTTGACACACTAGCCAGAGGTCGAATCTGGCCCAGCTAAAAGTGGTATTTTCATTTTTAAAGGTGTTCAAAAGAAAAAGAAAAAGGAAAGCCCTGGTTGGGTAGCTCAGTTGGACAGACACTGTCTCCATAGGCCTCTGTCAGGGCACATATAAGAAACAACCAATGAATGTACATATCAGTGGAATAACAAATCGATGTTTCTCTCTTTCTCTCTAAATATCAAATTTTTTATTATTATTTTTTTTATCCTCACCCAAGGACATTTTTTCATTTTTTGTTCAGATAGAGTGGGAAGGAGAGAGAGAGAGAGAGAGAGAGAAACATCGACGTGAAAGGGACACATCGTGTGGTTGCCACCCACATGACCCAACCAGGGCCGGGGATAAACTGCAATCGAGGTACGTGCCCTTAGCAGGAACTGAACCCAGGTCTCTCTGGACCGCAGGCTGACACTCCAACCACTGAGCCAAACCGGCCAGGGCTAAATATCCATTTTTTTAAAAAAGGAAAGAAAAAGAGACCATTTGAGTCTCAGAAAGCTTAAAATATTTACTCTCTGATCCTTTCCAGTTTGCCAAACGCTGATCTAGATCATGAAGGTACAGGATGTACAGCTGAACAAGAAGACAGAGATTAGGACAGTGCTCTGAAGCAAACTGTTATGACTTCCAAATCACCAAGCCCTGTTTGGGTAGGGAAGATAAAAGCATAAGGCACTATATGCCGTGAACACTTATGCTTGGAAGGCAGCTCTGGAAAAGATAAGCTAACACCTGAGGCATCCAGGTGGGAGTGGCTTTGACTGAGAAAAGGCAGGGACACTGGGGCTCTGACTGGGGAAGGGGGCCTGTGGTGAGCTGATGAGTGACTGGCTCTTTCAGTACTAATCTTTGGGGGGAAAGGTCAAACAGAAAGACAGGGAGGGACCATCATCACTTGTGTGCAGTACCGGAGAAGTACTGGAAATATAAACTAAGGAAAGGCTGTGAATTCTTCAGAGTTGCTCTGTGGAGACCCTTAATTTTGGCTGAGGGTGGAGAGAGGGCCGCAGGGAGGCGAGGGAAAGGGGTGACAGCGGAACAAACAGCCCAGAGCCTGTGTCTGGAGCTGCCCCCGGTGCTATTTGGCCGCCGAGCCTTCTGGCATGTTTCTGCCTCTTCTGTTGAAGACATTTGCTTAAATGTCAATGCCTGAGAAAGTAAATACAGCTGTCCATTTCTATCAATGTGAACCAATCAATCTGGCTCTCTTCAGCGGAGGACCAGGCTGTTCTGCTTGCCGCTGTGAAAGGCTGGCTTGTTTCACACCAAGTCTTCACATGTATTTCCAAAGGACAACAATAGCACCCTTTCTTGGGGGTGTGGGAAATTCCAAATCTATCAGAAAGGCTGTGGCAGGATATCCGTAAAGCCAAACTGTTCTTAAATGCCAGAAGGCAAATAAGATGGAAGGATATATGCTGCAAAGCAGATGCCAGAATGTCCTGGTTGAAAGGAATCATCAAGATCAACCAGCCCCTCACACTTCCAACAGAGCCGCCCATTAAATCCAACTACCCAAAGGAAAAAAGCTTGCATCACGCCTGGCTTGTGGCATGAAATATTACACTTCTTCCTCTTTTTAATAAATTAAAGAATACTTGCAATCAAAAACAAATCTCTGGTCCTGGCTGGATGGCTCAGTTGGCTGGAGCATCATCCCGTACACAAAAGGTGGCAGGTTCAATTCCCGAACAGGGCACATACCCAGGTTTTGGGTTCAATCCCTGTTCAGAGCACATACAAGAGGCAACAAATCAATGTTTTTCTTTCACATTGATGTTTTTCTCTCTCTCTAAAAAAACAAAAACAAAAACAAAAACAGCCCTGGCCGGTTGCTCAATGGTTAGAACATTTCAGCCCTCTGTCCAAAGGATTGCAGATTCGCTTCTTGGTCAAGGACACATACCTAGGTTGCAGGTTTCATCCATCCCTGGCCTGGTCGGGGTCATGTGGGAAGCAACCAACTGAAGTCTCTCTCTCACATCGATGTTTTCTTTTTTATTCTCTCTCCCTCTCTCCCTCCCTCCCTCCTTCCCTTCCACTCAATCTAAAAATCAATGGGAAAAATAACCTTGGGTGAGGATTAAATTTTTTTTTTTTTGGTGGTGGTATGTGCCCCTAGTGAGAACCAAACCTGGGACTCTCTGGTCCGCAGGCCGATGCTCAACCGCTGAGCCAAACTGGCCAGGGCTAAAAAATTTTTTAAAAACACAAACAACAGTAACAAAAAAAAATCTTTTGTCTTTTAACCCTTGAATTCCTGCCCTTCTCAAGTCCATCCCCCTCAATCACACTCATTATCTCCCCTACTGGACAGTGGGTTCCTCTGGGGAACTAACGGACCTTTGCAGCACACAGCAATCTGCTCATTTCCCAGAAGCGTGGTGAACAAGTCCTCATCTACTGGAAGATCTCAGTGTTGCTGCCGCCTACTGGCTGTGCAATCCTGGCCAAGTTACTCAACCTTTCAAAACCTCAGTTCCCTCACCTATGAAGTCCTATCACAACAAGGCTATTCTGGGGATAAAACAAATGAACCTGTTCTCTCCCATGAATCACACTCCCTCCTCAAAACTATACCAGAGCAGGGTTTCTCAATCTCGGCACTACTGCCTTGTGTGGGGGCCCATCCTGTGTTTTACAGGCTATTATGCAGCATCCCTGGACTCCATCCTCCAGGTGCCAGCAGCAACTCCACCTCCCCAGTTTTGACAACCAAAAATTGTCATTGAGATTGCCAAATGTCTCACTGGGGGTGGGGGTGGAGCAAAATCCCCTCTTCCTTCCATTGAGAACTACTGCACCAGAATATGCAACTAAGTTATGGAGAGTAGCCACCTTTTCCCTAATCACCCTCTTTCCCACCCTCCCCACAAGCAGCCACTTCAGCCACCACTTACTCACCACTCAGTTGCCTTGGAGGAAACATGTGATAGGTGCTGTAAATATCATTGGAGAACTGCAACTGGAGCTCAGGGCTGCCCATCAGGAGCTGGGCCACCTGTTCCACCTGAAATGGTGTCTTCTCCAGGATCACAATGGCATCCTCTCCATCCCCAGAGGCCTCATTCACCTGTGGGCAGAGACACAGGTGAGGTCTAGAGAACAGGCAGAAACTTCTGACGGCCTTGGAATTCCCAACATTTGAGATTTCCTTCCCTATAGTTTACCTCTCGGTAAATCTAGCCAACGGAACTGTTTCTCCTCTCAGAAGAAATCATTAACCTAAATCCTTTCTTCTAAAAGCCGCAAAATTTCTCAGCTATCTTCAATTTTAAGCTCACAAGGCCTCTGTTAAATTCTCCCCACTTTACAGATGAAGAAATGGAGGTCTGTCAAGAGAGATTAAGTGATTTGCCCAAGGTCCCATGAACAGTCAATATCGAAAAAGGAACTAGAATCTGGGTATCACAACTAACTCCTAGCTCAAACTGTTCTCATGTCTAAGAGCTGCAGACTGAAGACGGAAGGGGCTGAGAATCAGACAGAACCTTGTGAAAAACAAGAGACGCAGAGAGAAGCATGGATGCCTAGGACCAGATCCCCTCATCCTCCCTTAAGAGCTCTTGCAAGGAGTTCTGGGGATCCCTAATACCTGCCCTTGGCCGGGCCTCTTCACTAGTTACAGGATGGTCTCCAGTCTCTCCCCAGTCCCGGCTAGAGAGCTGAGCACGTGGTACTAGCGCCAGCTGTGTGTCTGTCTTCCCCAAGACACTGCACTCCTGAAGATCAGGGACGGCACCTCCACCCCTCCACCCCCGCGCCTAGCTCAGCGCTGCCCTGTCAGTGCAGGTATGTGGAACTGCATTAGAGTCTAACAGTCTCTCTGTTAGGGCTGGAGTCCTGTACAGCAGGGATCATATCTCCTAGTCTCTTGTCCTTCCCAGGGGCACGGACGAGCAAGACGGTCCAGCAACACTTACTGAGTTCCTAGCACCTCTACAGGTTAAATGAACAAAGGATGAATGACTTGGGAGAATTTAACACGAGATTTTTAATCTGCAATACACTCTACAAGTGGTTATTCTCCGCAAAGGAGGAATTAGGAAAATCGGCCGTTCGTGTTGTTCAGTTTCCTGAACTCCACGGGCGACCGCATCCTCTCCACTCCCTCCGCCCACAGCACTGTGGAGCTGCGCCTTCCCCCCACCCCCCGTGATGCGATTGGTACCTCCCGGCCGAGGGCCGCCAAGGCCCGCCTCCCCGGCGGGAAATGGTCACACCCGCGCCCCCCGCCCGGCCGCCTGCGGTACCTTGCCGTGTAGGAACAGGATCTTGTCCCGCGCGGACTCCCGCAGCACTTTTTTCACTCTAAAGCCGGAAAAAGGAAAGTGGGCAGGGGCAGAGGTGCCATTTCCAACGCCGGCTACCATGGCTTCCTTGTCCTCGGTGCCGCAGGCTGCCGTCCCCGCGTCTGCCAGTTCACGTTTTCTCTTGCTCGGCGGAGGTGCCGCGTCCGCCATGTTGCCCGCGGGAGTGTGCGCCTGCGCAGCCTCCGGACGCGTCCCGCCCACCTGCGCGACAGGCGGCTACTACAACTCCCGACATGCTCCGGGCGTCGACCCCCGCCCCCTGGCGCTCTGTCCCAGTGGACGCTTTTCAGCGAAGTTACTGCCCGGGCACCTGGTGCTGGCCCGCCCGAGTGGGAGCGGGCGCTAAGGGAAGAGGAGAGCAGGCAGCGGACTGACAGCGGGGCCGGTTGGGGAGCGCCCAGCCGTCCTCGCCGGACTCCGGAGGCACCTTGTTCGAATACCGCCTCTTTAACAGAAAGTATACTCAGCCTGATTAGTTAACCTGGAAGAGTGCTTCTGAAACTATCTGCTGAGCCGATCTTATTTTTTCGGTCCATTTCTTATAGACTTAAACCATTTCAGATTTTTCATGCATTTTACAGTTTTCTCGCGTTCTGTTCTTTTCTTGATGGATTCAATACTTCTTGCTGAAAAGAAAGGCGTGAACTGGGGTGGAATACTTGCATCACCTGCTGCTTTTCTCCGGGGATGGGGCCTCTGCCTCCGCTGTACCTGCCTGGCCTGTTGTGGCGACAGGGTCTAAGAAAGACCACTGGAGAATTGAAGTCCAAATAAGAGACGTTTATTAGCCGGCTGGCGTCTGATTCCGAACACCCAGTGACAGAGTCTTCAGAGATCAGCCTCGATATGCTTTATTACATGCCTTTTATACCTTACAGCAAATAGGATCTTCTTGATACAATGCCCATGGTTACAACAATGCTGTATAGAATTAATTTGCCTTGCAGATAACAGGAACACCCAGGCACACCCAGGTATTTCAAGGTACATTGGGTCACACTTAGCTCTGAGCTGCACAAACACAATGCAAGCCTAATTCCTTGAGACTGGGGGGGGGGGAGGTCAAGTCTCTGACTCAAGACCTCTAGGCTCCATGGACTCTATCAGACATGTAGCTGGCTCCCAACAATTTCTTGGTTCAGGGAGTATTCTAATTTACTGAGGTTATTTTGATCTCTATCCTGTTGATTATATTCTTTACAAAACAGGTTCAGCTAGAGGGCACACGATGACTTTCCCAATCATCAATTATGGAGCTATAAATAAGTCAGCACAATAATTTACCAATCATCAATTATGGGGTTATGAATATGTCAGCACAGGCCCACGTGTCTGCTCTGCCATCCTGAGATGGGATTTGCAGCATGAATGTGACTCATCTGTCAGAGTTTCTTCTCTCTCTCTTTGGAGGGGTGGGGCATATAAAATTTTTACTTATATAATTTCTGCCTTTGTAAATTTATTTTGTGTTCATTATTTCTGGCTAGTCCCTTTTTCCTTGGCATTATTTGATAGATCTAAATCATGTCAAGATTTGATACTTACAGCAGATTTTAGTAAAAAATTCTTATTATTTTAGCCAATGTCAGTTTTACATTGAATTTGTTTTTTTTTTTCCAGACAAAATAATGGGGCTGGAGGCTGTGGGGGGGATTTTCGGTCAGTAAATCTCCAAGTGTACTATGTGTCAATGGCAGTTTGCTTTGGGGTTGATTATTTTTACCGGAAACGTATGTTATGAAGTGAATAAAAGGCGAGTTGTTTTGTGAAGCAGGGCGCATTAGTAGTGGACGCTTAGGATCTGGAGTAATTTTCTTCAACCAGAAACATTTGCTGCTTGTTTACAAGTTTCCTGGGCAAATGCCTCACCTTCTGGGAATATACAGTAGGAGGTAATAAACTGTATGCCACAGTACAACAAAATGCCCTGGGAGTTAATGGCAATAGCAAAACCTGGTCAAAACTACAAGGCCTGCCCGGCCTGTGTGGCTCAGTGGTTGAGCGTGGACTCATGACCAAGAGGTCGCCGGTTTGATTCCCAGTCAGGGCACATGCCCAGATTGTGGGCCTGATCCCCAGTGGGGGACATGCAGGAGGTGGCCAGTCGATGTTCACTCTCATCAATGTTTCTCTCTCTCTCTCCTCCCTTCCTCTCTCTCTAAAATCAATAAAGAAAAAAAAATTTTTTTTAAACCTACAAGGCCATGATCTTACGGAAGTGTCTAGGTGTGCTTGCTCTTCCTTCCTCTTTTCCTTCCTTTTTCTTTCTGTCCCCTCCCTCTATCCGTTTAGTTTGTTTGTTTTTTAAATTTCCTTTCTTGCCCCTGAAATGAGAATTTTAGCAGTGTAGCTATGTTTTAACAAAAGGAGCCCAGAAATGGGAGCCACGAAGTCTGGCCCCTACACGGACTAGCTGTGCATCTTTGGGGAAGTCACCTACCCTCTCTAGGCTTCCATTTCTGTTTGCCTGGCACTGTCCTGAATAGACAGGAGAGACCTGTACTTTCATAGACTCCATATTCAAATAGAGATGAGGTAAACAAATATAATTTTAAGTAATGATTAATGTGTTATTTATAGAATAAACAGAACAATTCAATAGACCTGGCCACAGGGAGGACTTTACATCAGGGGGTCATGGGTGGCCTCTCGGGTGGTGGCATTGAGCTGAAACTTGAATGATAAGAAGGAAACAGCCAGGAAAATGTATTTCAGGCAGAGTAGGCATCAGACACTAAAGACCCTAAATTTAGCAGTAATGAGCTTGACATTTTTTAGAAACGGGAATGGCCCTTATGGCAAGGATGTAGTGAGCAAAAGAGACATATAAAATGAAATAATAGAGAAACTTATTCATTAGTGGCAAATTCATCAACTCAGTTATAATTCTGATGAAAATACCCATAAGGTGAGAGTTCTAGTCTTAAGCCCTGGCTCAAGGGAAGGATGAGCTCATAGGAAGCCTCAGCCACGAGAGGGTCTATTAGAATCCTGACGGCAGAGTGAAGGGACCTTGAGGGCAGCACTATAGATCATTGCTTGGCTCCCCAGGCCTTTGTTGATGTTTTCAGTTCCGCTTGTTTGGAAACTTCAAAAGGCTCTGTGCTGTCCTTCCGATAGCCACTAGCCACATGTAGCTATTTACATTTAAGTAAATTAGGTAAAGTGGAAAATTCATCTCCTCAGTCATACAGCTACGTTTCAAGTGCTTGATAGCCACATACGGTTAGTGGCTACTCTACGGAACAGCACAAACGGGATCATTTTCTATCATCACAATAAGTTGAACTGGACAGCGTTGTATTGGACGGTTATTACTGGAAGTCCTAGTCTATGAGCAGCAACCCTTCAGTCTTCTTGAGGAATTTCAAAACTTCTCCCAAATCTTTTTTTTTTTTTTAAAGACAGGACTAGACATTTCCATTTCAGGCATTGTAACAGACTAGATATCCTAAAAACATTTCAGCTAAAAAACACCTGCACATTCTGGATGCAATATTTAAAACATCCTTTCGGTTACATTGCAGCTTTCTCAAGGAAATACAGTTTTCTGAAATGAAAAATGTGGGAGCATGTATATAATGGTAAGTGGATATTGAAACTGAAGTTCTAAGAGTGATCGCTGGTTTCTAGAAATCTAGAGCCTTGGGCTTTAAATAGGATGTTTAAGGCGTGGGAAACAGACCTGAGCTTGTGCCAGGTGAGGAATTGGAACAGAGAACTTCCCAGAGAGCCCCGATCTCTAAAGGTCCACCACCTCAATGAAAGGGCTATTTAAAAAACGAATAAAACAAAAGCAGCCCCACTAAAGGAGACAAGGTATTTAGGCAACTTGTCTGCCTCAATATCTGGCTCTGGAGGAAAGGAAAAAAATCCCCAGAAAATGTATAACCACAGGCCAATCTTCATGCAGGATTAGAATTCAGATTCATACTGCCTATGTGATCCAGGAAGTTCAAACTGAAAAATCTATTGAAGCCACACTTCTATTGTTTTTTAAAAAAATTTATCTTTATTTTTGAAAGGATTACAGATGTCCCTCCTTTTATCCCCCATTGTACCCCTCCACCCCACTCCCATCCCCAACCCAGGCCTTCACCGCACTACGCTCTTGTATTGTTTACTGACTTCTCACTCTATGCCCAATTGACGCCATAGAAATAAATAGATCTTTAACTCCTTAAGACATTGAAATTGCAGTTTTAGATCTTCCCAAAGAGAAAATTTGAGGTCCAGTGGATTTACAGATAAGTCTACCAAACATTTAAAGAAACATTAATTCCAAGCTTAAACTCTTCTATCAGAAAAAAGGGAACACTCCCCAACTATTTTATAAAGCTGGTGCAGTATAACCTTGGTAACACAACCAGAGAGGGATAATCCAAGAAAGGGCAATTATGGGCCAATTCTACATATGAACATAGATGTAAAATTCTAAAGAAATTGGTAGCAATCTGAATCCTGCAATTCATAACAAAGATAATAAATACATCACACTCAAACTGAGTTTATTCCAGGATTGTAAGGCTGGCTTAAGATTAGAAAATCAAATTTTATCCACTGTATTAGTTGATTAAAATGGGAGAAACAAACCACATCCCCTCAGCAGATGTGGAAATTTTAGATTAAATTTAAAACCCATTCAAGGTAAGTAACTCGAAATAGCAGGATATTTACCACTTGTTAAAAAATACGTACCAAACCAAAAACCTACAATGAGTGTCACATTTAATGGCGAAATGTTTGAAGTATTCCTCTTACATCGTGACACAGACAAAGACGGCTGCTGTGGTCACTCTCCGCATTTGACAGGCAGTCCTTGGCAGCACAGAAAAACAGGAAATTTCTGTTTTCAAATTTGATGTTGTCTTATAGAAACTCAACACAATCTGAGGTCTTATAGAATAAATAATTCAGCTGGTTGCTTAATGTCAGATTAGTGTGCAAAATAAATTGCAATCTTTTCTACCAGTAATAGATTCAGAGTATAATTTAAAAATAATATTTACAGTAGCAACAGAAAATATGAAGTACTAAGGAATAAATCTAATAAAAGATGTGACTGAAGTACTAAGGAATAAATCTAATAAAAGATGTGACTGACCAACATGGAGAACAATTAAAAGCTTTATTGAAATACATTTAAAGACATCTGAAAATGAACACATACCATTTTATGAAGACTCAATACCATAAAAAAAAATCTATTCTTCCCAAATGACCCTCTCAACTCTATGTCAGCCCACTAGAAAAAAACAACAAGCATTTTCCTGGAACTTGACAAACTGAAGAAACAATTTCTATGAAAGAGGAACAGTTCGAAGTGATTTTGATGCATAAGGAGAGCAGGAAGGACTGACCTATAAGTTATCAAGGCTTATTAAAGACACAGGAAGCCAGTGTGCCACTGATACAGGGAGACCAAACACACAAGTGGAGGAGACGGGAGAACCCAGGACTAGACCCCCATATATGACAAGCAAATGACATTACAGTCAGTGGGGTCGAGGATGGACTAATCAGTAAATAATAGCTGTTCAAATGGAGAAAAAAATGGATCTCTGACTTATAAGCCAAGAGCAACAACAACAAAAGCCAACCCAAAGAAAACATCCAGGTGCGTTAAAGACCTACATGCGAAATACTTCCTGAAGAAAATACAGGAGTAAGGAAGGATTTCCTCAATAGGACACAGAAACACAGACTACAAAGTAACAGTAAAAGTTTTTATATTAAAAAATGATAAAAACATCTATTCTTTAAATGATACGATAATAGTATCATTTTTAAAAACTAACAATTTAGAGGTATATACTTAAATATGGAGGAATAAAATAATGCCTGGGATTAGCTTCAAGAAGACTGGGGGGGGGGGGGGTCGTGGTGAGGGAATGAGTAGGGTGATTGTTGATATAAGCTTAGCTCTGAGTTGGTAATTGTTGAAGCTGGGTGTTGGGCATATGGGGAGTCATCAAATTTTCATTAAAAAAGTAAAATGGAAAATAAGATTATTATGATAATAAGGTACCAGTTTCCCACCACCAGATTAGCAAACATTTTAAAATCTGATACTTCTAAGTGTCAGCAAGAACATCAAATGGTGGGAACTCTTACATGCAAAATCTGGAAGAAAATTTGGTATTTTCTACCAAAAGTAAATATGTGTATTCTTTACTACCCAGCTAGTCCTCATCTAGGCTAAATCCTAGAAAATCCTGTTCGTGGAAGCATATATAAAAATGTTCACAGGCTCATTGTTTTTAATAGCAAAAGACTAAAAACAGCCCTGGCCGGTTTGGCTCAGCGGTTAAAGCATAGGCCCGCGGACCAGAGTCCCAGATTCGGTTCCTGCTAAGGGCGTGTACCTGGGTTGCAGTTTGTCCCAGGACCCCAGTTGGGGTCGTGTAGGTGGCAACCGGTCAATGTGTCTCTCTCGCATCTATGTTTCTCTCTCTCTTCCTCCCTTTTTCCCTCCAGTTCTATCTGAAGACAAATGCAAAAATGTCCTTGGGTGAGGATTAAAAAAAAACAAAACAAAAAAACTAGAAACAACCAAATGTCCATTTGTAAAAGAGTGTGTAACTAATAGTGGTATGTTTACATAATGGACTGAAAGAGAACTCACTGCCGTTACATGCCTCAACATGGATAAATCTTACAAACATGAGAAACAAATGGAATTTGCAGAATACAACATCATCATACTAAAGTATAAAACCATGTAAAAGTAAACATGTCAGGAATGCCTACATATGTAATAAATTTCTAAACAAAGACTAAGAATGATAAAGTTCAGAATAGTGGTTACTTCTGGTGGGAGAAGGGAGGAAAATAATTAAGGGCACAAAGGCAAAACCTAGGGATTGTAATATTTTGCTTCTTAAGCTGGTGGAAGATACATGAGTACATTAGAGTATGCTTTAGTCCTTTTGCATGTAATAAAATAATTCATAGTTAAAAACATAAAATTATTTCACAATATAATTGACTCATACACTTGAGACTAACATAATGTTATATGACAATTGTATCTCAGTTACAAAAATATATATATGTATACATGTATAAATATTTTTCAGTAAAAGGAGGGGGAATTGATAAAAGAGGCACAGAAGTACACATTGGGAGAACAAGAAGTTCATTTCAGTTCAACCAACTTTTATTGAGAACAGATGAATGAAACCTTGAGTGTCCTAAAAGGTACACAGTCATCTGCCAGAAGAAAAATGCTGGTTTCTCTCGGTGCAGAGATGAAGAAGCTATTGCAAAGCATGAGCTCTAGCCAGACCCCCGACGAGGCCTCCATCTGTCAAAGCACCCATGAGCGGGCTTTTGATCCAGGTAAAAGGTCTGAGCTTTCCTTCTCTTCACCCCACCTGCTCCCTGTCCTCTCCGGTCTATTCAGAATGGTTTCTAGGTTTGAGTCTTGAATGACATGCACGCAGTAAAAATAAATACAGGACAGTGCAGAGCACATTTTTCTTGTAGCTTCCTGAAGTGAGTGAAGGAAAAGGGAGTGGCAGCCCTGTGAGACACACCTGATACCTGTGGCTTTCTCGTAACATCTGTTCCAGTTTTCCCAGGCAGCTGGAAAAACCATCCATGCTGAGACATGCACTCTAGGCGTCCAGCTGATTCATCAGGTGGGTCACCTGTTCAGGAGGAATGCATCTTGACACCAGTGCCCAGTCCCAGGGGAAGAAGACATAGGGATGTGCCAGATTCATGTCCAATAAGGAGGAGGAGAAACGTTCGTGTTCATCTGATATCAGCACCTCCTACCACCTCCAGTTTCTGGCTTCCCCATGGCCTTCCTGGGGAGTCCCCAGCTTCTTCATGGCCTTCCTGGGGGAGTCCCCAACTTCCCTAGGGCCTTCTAGGGGAGTCCCCATCTTCTCCAGGGCCTTCCTGAGGAGCCCAAAATAATAGAAGCCTGCTGGGCAATCTGATCCCAGGGTCACATACAAAGTGCTACGAACTCTGGCTCCTTAGGTCTCGTCACATCTGCTGGATCCAAGGCCTTGAGCTCTCTAGCTTGGTTTCCAGCCTTGTGCCAGCTTTGTGGATCCCATGGTGATATGAGAAATGTCAGCTGAGGGTCTGTAGATCTGCAAGAGACCAAACAGAATCACAGGGCTTGTCACTCTCCCCAAATCCAGCATCTCTGTTTCCCCCAACAGGTCTCCACCTCTTCTAACATTTTTTTCCAAATGTGTTTTTATTGATTTTTGTTTTAGAGAGAGAGGAAGGCAGAGAGAAACATTGACATGAGAAAGAAACACTGATCAGTCAGTTGCCTCCTGAATGCACTGAGCGGGACTGAACTCGCAACCTGGGCATGTGCCCGGACCAGAAAGCAAACTGGCAACATTTTGGTGCAAAGGACGATGCTCAACCAACTGCTCCACACAAGCCAGGTGTGGCTATTTTACTTCTAAAACCACTATAATATAATGTCCTCCCCTGGATAGGCTTATTGAAGGCATTTTTTCCCCATTATTTTACACCGTCTTGCCTTATTTACTTTTTTTTTTTTCCTTTATTGATTTCAGAGAGAGAGGAAGGGAGAGGGAGAGATAGAAACACCGATGAGAGAGAACATCAACTGGCCGCCTCCTGCATGCCCCCCACTGGGATCCAGCCCACAACCTGGGCCTGTGCCCTGACTGGGAATCGAACCAGAGACCACTTGGTGCATGGGTCGACGCTCAACCACTGAGCCACACTGGCCGGATCCGTCTTGCCTTATTAAAGCAGTGTTCCTCCTGGCATTTTCCCAGGTCTTGTGAACATCTCCAACCTCACGTCCATGAGAGAAACTCATACTATGAATACTAATAGTGGTAATAATGGCTAAGATTTATTGAGGACTTGGTGTGTGCCTGTTACCAGTACTTTCCATGTGCCAGGCCCTGCTCTGAACACTTAGTGTTTTCCCAAGAGGAAACCCAGGCACAGAGGGGTTAAGTAACTGCCTGAGAAACACACAATGCTTCAGAGCCTGCATTTTCAACTACTGGGCTGCAGGGGCCGTGTCCTTCCCTTCCCGTCCCCTCCTGGAAGAGCTTACAGCGAAGGATGGCCTCCTTGACTTGGTGGAAGCCGTGGTCGGGGCCGCGGCCGTCCACGAAGTACATGAAGCGGAGCTCCGGCGGGTAGGCGGACCTGGCCAGGCCTGCGAGCAGGGGGATAATGCGGCCCTCGGCACCAGGGGCCTGGCTCAGGGCCTGCAGCATCTGGTACCTGCACCACGGGTCACGCAGGAAGCCAGGAGTGATGAGCAGGACGCGGCAGTGGCTGCTGTCCAGGGCCCGGCACAGCTCGGACACGATGGCGCCGCCAGGGGACGAGTCACGCAGCTGCAGGAAGCAGCGCAGGCTGGCAGAGCTGCCCTCCAGGTAGGCCACCAGCTCCTGCGCAGCCTCCAGGTCCTCCTCGCTGTGGCACACGCACACGTCGTAGTCCCGGCTCCAGCGGCCACTGCTGCTGCCGGGGGCGCCCTCCTGCGCCGGTGGCAGGGTGGGAGACCCCGGGGAGCTGGGGTCTGGGGGCGGGGGGTGGTCCTGCGAGCACCGTGGTGGAACGTCACTGGGGTGGCTTTCCTGGGACGCTGGCATCTCCTTGGGCTTCTTCGACAGGGCCTGCCTGAGCCAGCCTGCGGAAGAAACTGCTCAGGCCTGCAGAGGTGCGGGGCCAGGAATCGGCCGCCTTGCTGCACTGGCCACTACCGCCTGGTTCTCAGACCTACTGCCTGGCGGCCCTTCTGCACATCCGCAAGACTTGCCCGAAGTTCCACTACGGTAAAGTTTCAGGAAGACACAGGTACTCTGTTTTATGAGTCCTGGGCTGTAATGTGCAGCAAGTGACTGTAGTTAATAATGTTATTACATATTTCAAAGGTGCTAAGAGAATACATTTTAAAAGTTCTCTACACTAGAAAAAATATCGTGTATGTATGGTAACAGGCATTAATTACATTTGTGCTGATCATTTTGCGATATATAAACATAGAATCATGTTGTACACTTAAAAATAAATATAATGTATGTCATTTATACCTCAGTTAAAAAAAAATTAAGCCTTGGTTTAACAACAATATGGAAAAAGAAAGGAGAGGAAGAACTCTGGCAGTTTTACCAGCCTGGCTGGAAAACAGCCTGCCCTGTCCCAGGCCCTGGGAGCCAGATACCCCAACCAGAACTTCTGCTAGAGCTGACTAGTTGGCCATCTTCAAATCTGAGCAGAGCTACGAGAAGCTAGAAGGATCAGTCAGTTCCCACACTCATTTCAGCACTGAAGGGAGGCAGGTCGGGATTAAGGTGGGCCAGCCATCATGGGAGGGAAAGTGGGGAAGGATCGGCATCTGTTTGGCCCCCGAGAAAGCCTAGATTGTTACTGAATGGCTAAACAAAAGCACGGAGGAGAGCCACTGCTCAGAGCCCCCGGAGAGCACAGAGCCTGGTGATGCGGGGCCTACACGTTGTGGAGTCAGGCCGAGTTCTAAGCGTGGACCTGCTGCCTTTCTGTATGACCTTACACAAGTCAGTCTGTCTCCATTTCCTCATCTGTGAAACGGGCTCGTTTCAGTGGTTGTGGAAGATGAACTGGGATAATGCAGTGTCTGGTATATTGTCAGCACTCCGTAATGATTTCAGCTTGGCTCCCCAGTTTCGGATAGGGACAGAAAGTTTGGTGTTCTGGAGATCGATTTGTTTTCTCTCTCTGCTTGGCCCCTTCCTCTGAATGCTCCTGGAAGACTTAGATGGCAAGAGACACAGCGTGAAGCACTCAGTGCCAGGCTAGGAAACTGAGCTGAGCCTGGGGAACCTGCGAGCCAGAAGGAGTCCAGTTTCCAGAGATGCACGCCTCCTCTGCTCATGCCACAAAGCACCCGGGCACCAAATCCACGGTAGGAGGCCCCCCGCCTCGCCACTAGGAATGCCGACTACACTCACAGGAGCAAGAACAGCATTCGGAGTCTGCTTTCACTCACCAGCCATCTTGCCCAAAGGCTTCTTGGACCCGGAGCCAGAAGCTGGGAAGGAGGTGGATGATGCCATAGTGTTAGGCTCCAAACTAACCCCATGAGACCAGGCATTGGTAGAGTGGGAGAAGGGAGGAGACCCAGTCTGGACCTCATAGCACGGCCATCCTGAAAGAGACACAGAGAGAGGATCACAAAAGCTGTACTTACCTTACTCGCAGCCCCGGGGGTAGGCTGCAAAGTTCTTTCTCCCCTAATGCCCGACAGGGGCTCACTCTCTAAATGGGTCCTCCACTCTTCCTGGGAGAGAGAGCACTGTGACTGGGGCTGGTTTCTAGGTAAACCCAAATCTGTGTGATGTGGTCACACTTACAGAGTATGAGTTCAGCATGACCAGGAGAACGACTGCCCTCTGCTCCGCCTGGCCTGGAGTGCATTCGGGATCTGGGGAAGGGCGGCTGGCAGGCGGCTCTTACAGGGACTTCCCGTGTAAATGCTGAAATGGGAGAAGGACAGTTGCTATTTGGACAAGTAATTTTGTATCCAGGTAGACAGATGCTGAGCAGAAGAGAGAGAACAGATATAAGAAACCTTGGGAAACTTTTCCTCTATGTCAGCCTTCCCCTGAATAATTCCCTCCATCCACCCATCCCTCCTCCCTCCCTCCCTCAGCTGTCAGCTCAGGGAAACGGTACCACACAGTGGTGAAGAAGGCAGCCCCTGCAGGCCCAGTGCCTGGTTCTCGCCTCTTCTGAGCTGTGGCCTTTGGCAGGCTACTTAACCTTGCTAAGCTTTAGCTCCCCCACCTGTGAAACGGCAATCATACCAGAACCTGCTTCCCAGCATTACTGTGACGATTACATGAGATAATTTATGTAAAGTACTAATGGTATATGACATACAATGCTCAGAAAATAGTGTGGGATGTATATTTAAAATCATCTAGATATTGGAGGGATATATTATGTTCATGGTTGAGAAGACTCAATAGTGTCATCAATTTTCCCCAAACGAATCTTTAGATCAGTGCTATCCCATATTCCAGAGGGTTTTGGCTTTGGGAGTGGGAAGGGGTCGTCAGACTCCTTCTAAATTTATATGTAAATGTGAAGGGCCAGGAATACCTTAGGTGGGCGACGTGCCACGTTCTCTTCCCACTGCAATGCCCAAGATGTCCCTGATGGTAGAGGTTTTCTTCGACGTAGGTCTCTGGGAGGACATCCCGTGGAGCAGGGGCTGCTCTGGTCCAAGACAGAGCCAGAGATGAAGGGCTGGTGGAGGGCTCGGCTCCAGCTGTGGAGCAACAGGAAGAGGATTGCTTCCTCACTCTTTGCTGAATCTGCAAAGGTCAAAACAAAACCCTGGGAACTTACATAGGAGCAACTCGTATTATTAGACACACTGAAATCACAAGTTTCAAAATGTAAAGAATGTCATTCTTGTTGGACAAGAATGCTTCATCCATTGTTAAATGCTAAACACCTCTAGGTAAAGCTGATGAATGTAAGATAAGAGGTACTGTTGTTGTTTTTAATCCTCACCCGAGGACATTTTTCCATTTTTTTGTTCAGATAGATTGGGAAGGAGAGAGAGAGAGAGAGAAACATCGAAGTGAAAGGGACATCGAGTGGTTGCCACCCGCACAACCCAACCAGGAACGGGAACAGACTGCAACCGAGGTACGTGCCTCGGGAACCGAACCTGGGTCTCTCTGGACCAAAGGCCAACACTCTAACCGCTGAGCCAAACCGGCCAGGACGAGGTACTGTTGATTCATGAAAATATATCAAAGTTAAAAAAGAAAGAACTTCCACTGCAGCAGCAAGGGGGGCAGAAAGAGTTAGAAGGGGTGCAGGAATCAGAGCTACACTTGAAAGAGAAAAGCAGTTAGCTGCTAAGCCAGCCAAAAGGACACAAACAGGTAAACATTAGTATATGTATGTGTTTCTTTTCCTGATTAATATTCTCTGGATTTCAGACGGCCTAAGGGCTGGGTCAATGGTAAGACAGTGCCTAATAACCACTACCTGGTTTTGAAATCCTTTTCCTGGTCAGAGGTTACTACCTGTCGACATCTTCATTTCAACCATGTAAGATATCCTTTTCCCCCAGTAGTAAATATACTGTCACTTGGTTTTAATAGTATTCAAATACTTTTTCAATTTTGTTTTTCATTTTAAATTTGTTATTTAGCCTTCAAACTGGAGAATCATGTGATATTTTAATGATAGCCTAAAGATTAAAAATTAACATAATACTTTACCCAACAGATGTAGATTTGAAAGTTTCAGTTTCTCATTTTATATAACGACTTGCCCTTCTGGCAATATGTGCTGATTCGAGGGTAACTGTCCTTTTTCATTGCTTGGTTAAGAAACAATCCAGTTGCCCAACGGCATATGCCACTGGAAGTGGGTGTGACTAACGTCGTGGAAAAGTTTAAACACAGGAAATAATACCATCTTTTTTTTTTTTATCCTCACCTGAGGACATTTTTCCATTTTTTGTTCAGTTAGAGTGGCAGGGAGACAGAGAAAGAGAGAGAGAGAAACATCGATGTGAAAGGGACACACCAAGTAGCTGCCACCCGCACGACCAACCGGGGCCAGGGACAAACTGCAACCAAGGTACATGCTCTTAGCAGGAACCGAACCCGGATCTCTGGAGCGCAGGCCGACGCTCTAACCGCTGAGCCAAACCGGCCAGGGCTATAATACCATCTTTGACAGAGGATAATTGAACAACATAGTAGATATGTTCCTTTAGTCATACGTGTCTACCTCCTGGAACCCATGACACCTTTCTTGTTACTTTTCAGTTCTTGTGCAGCTGAGGCTGTGGAGCTATTTATTACACTCAAATATGCTTTAATATTTATGAGATTTAGTAATAGTCATATATTGAGATATAGTTGCCAAGCAGATAAGAAGATATTTTATGTCCAGCCCATGTGGCTCAGTGGTTGAGTGTCAACCCATGCACCAAGAGGTCACCAGTTTGATTCCTGGTCAGAACACATGCCCAGATTGTGGGCCTGATCCCCAGTGGGGGGCATGCAGGAGGCGGCCAATCAATATTCTCTCTCATTGATGTTTCTCTCTCTCACTCCCTCTCACTTCCTCTCTCTATAAAATCAATAAAGGAAAAAAAAAATTTTTAAAGAAGATATTTTATTCACCCAACATAGGGGCACCAAAATATATAAAGCAAATCTTGATAGACATAAAGGGAGAGATTGACAGTAATACAATCATAGTAGAGGATTTTAACACCCCAATTGACATAATGGATAGATCTTCCAGACAGAAAATCAATAAGGAAACAGAGGCCTTAAATGACACAAACGTGCTGTAAGAGGCCTTTGTTCCTTTGGTGAGCCCTTCCCTGGGGTGGCTGACAGCCCCAATGTCTGGGACTCCAGCAACCTGGTTCACACTGGTAGCCCCGCCCTGGTGATTCCCTGAGGCCCCGCCCCACCCAACTTTCAGACCCACCCAAGCTGTTGCCAGTTGCTTAACCATAAGATTGGCCTGTCTTGGATCCTGCTTCAGGTTTTCCTAAATTCTTTCAAACGAGCAGCATCTGGTCTCAGCTAGCGCATATCTCCCATTAGGTAATACATAGAAACAAACACAGGGAGGCAGCCAAAATGAGGAGACAAAGAAACAGGTCCCAAATGAAAGAACAGAAAAAATCTCCAGGAAAAGAACTAAGCGAAATGGAGATAAGCAACTTAACAGATGCTGAGTTCAAAATACTCTTATAAAGATGCTCAATGAAGTTAGTGAGAACCTCAGTGAACTTAGTGAGGGCCTCAAGAGCATAAAAAAGGACCAGTCAGACATGAAGGAGGCACTAACTGAAATAAAGAATAATTTACACAGATGCAGTAGTAGAGTAGGTAAAGCCAAGAAGCAAACGATCAATTTGGAATATAAGGAAGCAAAAAACACCCAATCAGAACAGCAAAAAGAAAAAGGAATCCAAAAAATGAGGATAATGTAAGGAGCCTCTGGGACAACTTAAAGTATGCCAACATTCACATCTTGGGAGTGCCAGAAGGAGAAGAGGGAGAACAAGAAATTGAAAACCTATTTGAAACAATAATGGCAGAAAACTTCTCTGACTTGGTGAAGGAAACAGATATACAAGTCCAGGAAGCACAGAAAGTCCCAAACAAGATGAACCCCGAGAGGCCCACACCAAGACACATCATCACCAAATGCAAAAAGTTCAAGACAAAGAGAGAATCTTAAAAGCAGCAAGAGAAAAGCACGTTAGTTACCTACAAGGGAGTTCCCATAAGGCTGTCAGCTGATTTCTCAAAAGAAACTTTGCAGGCCAGAAGGAAGTGGCAAGAAATATTCAGAGTGATGAAAAGCAAGAACCTACAGCCAAGATTACTCTATCCTGCAAAACTGTCATTTAGAATCGATAGCCATATAAAGAGTTTCCCAGACAAGAAAAAGTTAAAGGAGTTCATCACCACCAAACCATTATTATATAAAACGTTGAAGGGTCTTTTTGAAGAAAAAAGATAAAATATACGAACAAACAAAATGGCAATGAATACATATCTACCGACAATGGAATCTACAAACAAAATAAACAGGCAGAACAGAAACATTCTCATAGATACAGAGAACATTTTGTTGGTTGCAAGATGGAAGCGGGGTTGGTGGAATGGGTGAAAAAGGTGAAGGGATTAAGAAGAACAAATTGGTTGCTAGACTAACAAACCTCAAAGGGAAGGGGGGCTTAGGGGGTTGGAAGAAATAAACCAAAGAACTTAAATGCATAACCAATGGACACAGACAATAGTGTGGGAAAAGGCAGGAGGGGGGTGGGAGTGGGGAGGGAGGGGGTCAATGGGGGGAAAATGAGGAACATCTGTAATACATTCAACAATAAAGATTAAAAAAAAAGATACCTGAGACAAATGAAAATGATAACACAACAACCCCAAATCTATGGGACACAGCTAAAGCAATCCTAAGAAGGAAATCCATATCAATACAGACATACTTAAAGAAACAAAAAAAATCTCAATTTAACTTACATCTAACAGAACTAAAAAAAAAAAAAAAAAAAAATGAAGTTCAAAGTGAATAGAAGGAAAAAAATAATCAAGATCAGAGTGGAAACAAACAAAATAGAGTACAAATTTAAAATACACACACAAAAAATCAATGAAATAGAAAAACAAAATAAAATAAAAGATCAATGAAGCCAAGATAAAGAAGATTAATAAACCTTTAATCAGACTTATCAAAAAAAAAGGAGAAGAAGAGAGAGAGAACTCAAAAAAATAAAATCAGAAATAAAAGAGAAAAAGTAACAACTGACACCACAGAAACACAAAGGATTATATTATATGCCAACATTTGGACAACCTGGAAGAAACAGATAAATTCTTAGAAAGATACCATCTTCAAAGATTGAATCAAGAAGAAACAGAAAATCTGAACAGACTGATTTCAATGAATGATATTGGAGCAGTAATCAAAAAAACTCCCAACAAACAAAAATCCTGGACTAAATTCACAGGTGAATTTTACCAAACATTCCAAGAAGGATTAACACCTATCTTTCTCAAACTATTCCAAAAACTTCTAAAGAAGGGAAGATTCCCAATCTCATTTTACAAGGCGAGCATTATCCTGATTCTAAAACCAGATAGACACTATGAAGAAGGAAAATTATAGGCCAATATCCCTGATGAAAACAGATGTAAAAATCCTCAACAAAATATTACCAAACTGAATTCAGCAATATGTTAAAAAGATCTCCCCTCTCTCTCTTTCCACCCCCATTCCTTTTTCTCTTTAATAATAAAAAATATTTTTTATATCATACACCATGATCAAGTAGGATTTATTCCTGGGATGCAAAGATGGTTCAATATCTGCAAATCAATTAACATAATATACCACATAAACAAAGTGAAGGATAAAATTCATATGATCATATCAATAGATGAAGAAAAAGCATTTGACAAAATCTAGTACCGATTTATGATAAAAACTCTCAGCAAAGTGGGAATAGAGGGAACATACATAAATATAATAAAGGCCATATATGACCCACAGCTAACATATCTCAATGGTGAAAAACTAAAAGGGTTTCCCTTAAGAAGTAGATATGTCCACTTTCACCACTCTTATTCAATATAGCATGGGAAATCCTAGCCACAGCAATCAGACAAGAAAAAGAAACAAAATGCATCCAAATTGGAAAGGAAGAAGTAAAACTCATTATTTGCAGATGACATGATACTATATTGGGGGAACCCTACAGATTCCATGAAAAAAACTACTAAAACTGATAAATGAATTCAAT